AGTGTAGACACAAGATGATGTTTCATACAGACGTTTGTGTAGTGTAGACACAAGATGATGTTTCATACAGACACTTGTGTAGTGTAGACACAAGATGTTTCATACAGACACTTGTGTAGTCTAGACACATGATATGTCATACAGACACTTGTGTAGTCTAGACACAAGATGATATGTCATACAGACACTTGTGTAGTCTAGACACAAGATGATATGTCATACAGACACTTGTGTAGTCTAGACACAAGATGATATATCATACAGACACTTGTGTAGTCTAGACACAAGATGATATGTCATACAGACACTTGTGTAGTCTAGACACAAGATGATATGTCATACAGACACTTGTGTAGTCTAGACACAAGATGATATGTCATACAGACACTTGTGTAGTGTAGACACAAGATGATATGTCATACAGACACTTGTGTAGTTTAGACACAAGATGATATATCATACAGACACTTGTGTAGTCTAGACACAAGATGATATGTCATACAGACACTTGTGTAGTCTAGACACAAGATGATATGTCATACAGACACTTGTGTATTCTAGACACAAGATGATATATCATACAGACACTTGTGTAGTCTAGACACAAGATGATATGTCATACAGACACTTGTGTAGTGTAGTCACAAGATGATATGTCATACAGACACTTGTGTAGTTTAGACACAAGATGATATATCATACAGACATTTGTGTAGTCTAGACACAAGATGATATGTCATACAGACACTTGTGTAGTCTAGACACAAGATGATATGTCATACAGACACTTGTGTAGTCTAGACACAAGATGATATATCATACAGACACTTGTGTAGTCTAGACACAAGATGATATGTCATACAGACACTTGTGTTATTTAGACACAAGATGATATGTCATACAGACACTTGTGTAGTCTAGACACAAGATGATATGTCATACAGACACTTGCTTGTAATGCTAATATTCAGATCAGTTGGAATTTGTTTCGTAATACTTTTTAGTCTTGGAATATGTTAATAAATGAAACGTGGCTATAGTCTGACTATACCAACCCATTTGTTTATACTCCCCTGCTGATTTCAATAATGGAAACCTTTACTGTGATAAAAAGTGCAAGGAAGTTAGTCAATTCATTCATTGATGTATATTTTTTAACCTGACTGTGAGTAGAACGGCCCTAACATAATCATTATCCATTTTCAGCAAAGGGGTGTGAGCATGACTACACCTGTACATACATATGTCATCAGCTTCCAATATTTACAATGTCGAATCAAGCAAAGGAAAAGAATTACAAAAACAAGTTTGCCTTTTATTTGGGTTTAACAAGTGGTTTAGTTTCTATGTTCATGTGTGCAAAGGAATTTGCTTCCAAACTCTCAATGTTATGGCAATTTATGGAATTATCTGGAAGATACTAAATAGCATGAATTACGTCATTGGCTGATGCAAATAAACTAGTCCATAGTGTACGCAATATGGTGCTGTGTTAGTATGGAAAGTCTGTTAAACATGAAAAGTTCAGAGGATACCAGTATTTGTGCTTTTCTGGTCCCAGTCATTATGGAAATTATAAATCAATTATTCAATTGACTTAGTTCTGTGCACTTTTTATCACATTAAATTTTTTGTTATTGAAATTAGTTGGGGATTACAAATAAATGGGGATGTATTGTCAGGCTACAGAGCCATTTCCAGAGTTATTCATATAATAGTAGATTTTGCTTATCTATTAATCTTTCAAAACAACATTTAAAGTGTTTATCCTAATGCTGACAATTAGCTGATGGTCATTAAAAATCCTGTTATAATTAATAATTAAAAAACCCAAATGCATCCTTCTGCTTGAATACTGCTTTTTTAAAATTCGGTTCATCTTAAAAAGAACATTCTTTTTTAACAAAATTATACTTGTTTTAATTGCTTAATTAATTATGTTGATAAAGCTTACATCAGCATCCCATTCTGATTCTCTTTTTTTTTCACCATTCCATGATTGAGCTGTACAATATTCCAATTAAGTTTTTATGGATTGACTGGTTTCTTGACTTGAATTTTTACAAACATGCCAGGTTATAACTCCTGCAAGAGTAGAATACCAGTCATTGTATTGAGTTTTAATTTGGGAAACAGAGATTCAACACATTGTTTTTATTTTTTCCAATTTGTATGAAGTTTAAATTTTTCTAGTACATCTTGCTCACACTTAAGTCTTTTGAGGTACATTAGAACCCCTCCAGAAAGACAATCATGTCTGCCCCAAGCTAACAGTCTCTAAAGACAGCTGATCTCTCACAACAGGGCATGACAGTATATGTTCAGTAGAATTTGGTCTCAAGACAGGTGGTCTCTCAAAGCAACGCTCTTTCAAGACAGGTTGTGCTGTATTTTCTGCTGGAAAGTATTTTTGTTATAGTGATAGTCACATGGCTGTGAAACATTCCCTCTGAGCTTTATGAATGTTTATTCTTGTAATATTTGAAATGTGTCTTTCATTTTTAAATTCATTACCAAAACTTTTTTACACTCTAACACTATATTATTTTCATAAATTCATTGCCAAACCTTTTTTTACGCTCTAACAGCTATATTATTTTCATAAGCTTATAAGTGAATATTTGCTTTTGATTGGACTGGTGAATGAAATGAAGGGCTACTTCTGACCTATATTCCTGTACGTTAGCAAATGAAAGAGTTGCAATCTATAGAGATGCTTATAGAACATAAAATAATTTAGATAATTTAAATAATTTAAAATAATAATAAGGAAAGGGTAGGGATCTTACTACTGATAGTTATTTTGTCTTTGTGTTCTTATTAATATCACGTTATGAAATTACACTGATAGTTATTTTGTCTTTGTGTTCTTATTAATATCACGTTATGAAATTATACTACATCACTATAATACCTTTCATCACAACATCATCCCCTTGATGCATGGTCATGAATCACATTTCACTGAGTGGCAATTAAAAATTTACTTATCATGTACTTCATTAAAAATTGTAAAATTTAATAACATGGCTTCAATGGACAGCATTAAAATGAAGAAGTATTCAATATGGCTTCCATTTGCTGCTTTTTTATGAGAGTACTGTATCATGTATATAATTATGAGATGGCAAAATTTAAAAAAATGCCTTCCATGGAAATCATTATAATGAATGAGTGCTGATCATGTACTTCATTATAAGGCAGTATCACTATAACACAGGAACATGTTTCTTATGAATAGTGTTATATTATGAGAGTACTGTGTAATGTACCTTGTTTTAAGGTGGTTTCTGTATATCCTGTGATATATTATGAAAGTACTGTGTAATGTACCTTGTTATAAGGTGATCTCTATATCCTGTGTTATATTATGAGAGTACTGTGTAATGTACCTTGTTATAAGGTGGTCTCTGTATATCCTGTGTTATATTATGAGAGTACTGTGTAATGTACCTTGTTATAAGGTGGTCTCTGTATATCCTGTGTTATATTATGAGAGTACTGTGTAATGTACCTTGTTATAAGGTGATCTCTGTATATCCTGTGATTTCCATGGCCAGCATTACCATCAAGGAGTATATAATGTATTTCATTATATGATAGTCTCACTATATGGTAATATACTCTCTGACTCCCATGGACTGTAATATAATGAGGGAATATTACAAGAGTACTGTATCATGTTTCATTTTAAGGTGATATTATATTTTCTGGTTTCTGTTTGCATTTTTGAGAGATTACAATCTTGTATATTTCATTATAAGATGGTAAAGTTTAATAACATTACTTCCATTAAATGCATATTTTTGAGAGTACTATATCATGTACTTCATTATAAGATGATCTCAGTATTCACCGGCTTCCGTTACCATGTTATAATGAAGGAACATGTTATAATTTACTTATTTATAAGATGGTTTCAGTACAAGGTGGTCTACTTATGTCTAAAATGGACTGAGGTATAATGAAGGAATACTATTCAATAAACTTCATTATAAGGTAGCCCCATTATAATGGGGTACATAATATGGATTTTATGAAAGTGCTATAATGAGGGGATCATTGCATGGATAATTTAAATCAAAAGATTTAAAAGTTTTCAGTGTTAGCTGGAATATATTTTCTATCATGTGAACAGACATTGTAGCTATTTTTAAGGAGCGATGTTTATTCCAGAAGAAAAAAGAAATGTATGACTGCATGGAATGTGGGGATAGTAACATTTATGCTGTAGTAGTATGGAAATAAGGTTTTTGAAGGAATCTTTTTAAAGTGAAGCCGTCAAATTAAATTTGGTTCAAACATTCAGATGTTTATTTGTAAAATATCAGAGAAATAACTGTTAGGAAATCAAGTAATCAGCATGCCCCCACTATAATTCCAATCTTCTTATATAAGGTGGACACAGTCGTGTTTCAGTTGTTCAGTTACCATATATACTCACTTATAAGATGAAACCAACTGCAAACTGCACAGACCCAGATATTCTGAAACATAATGCAATGGCAGATCTGTGTGAGTGCAGTTTGTTAGAAGTTATAAGAGCAACAAACAACCTAGACCCTGGTCTGCAGGTGCACTATGCTATGGCAGATCATGGTCTCTGATGTTTACAGTTTGACATGACTTATAAGTGAGTATATATGGTACATGTATCTTGTACTTTATTATAAACTGGTGTCACAATAAAATGGTATACTCTGTGGCTCCATTGGATGGTATGAATGAAGTTTTGATTAATATATTTAAATGTCCAGTCTGCAAAACACCAAGAAATCTTGGTATACATTTTATTTTTACACTAGATCTTTTTACATTTTTGACACAAAATAATTGTTATAAGAAATAGTATCCTCTCACTAAACATCCAAAACATAATAACTGATTGAATATTTCAACATTTGTCAAATTTGCACTGACAGACTGCATTTAATAGATGTCTTCATTTAAATGCCTTTATAAAGGACTTGTTGATGGATGAATATTTTTATACAGTGGACTACTCTGGTGGCCTAAGTGGTTAGAGCATCCGCCTTGGATGTGGGAGGTTGCGGGTTTGAACCCAGGCTGAGTGATACCAGAGACTTATAAAAATGGTACTCAGCATTATGAGGTTAGTGTAAGAACTGGTTGGACTTTTGTTAGGATAATGTAACGCTATTGGGACATGATGCTACATGTCTGTTGCGTGATGCCCCAATACTAAAAATCACTATAAAGCTACATTAAAAATTGAAGTCATACACACATGTACACACTCGCGCATTCTCTTGCAACATGTTTTGTGCAGTTTTATTAATATTATAAAGTACTGATTTGGCTGAAACAGTTTATATCAGCTTTCTCAGATGAGTTACCACTGTCTTTAGATTCTCATTGACTTACTACATTTCTTTCACAGTAATTGTTTTGCAGTAGTTAATAAACCACATAAATATTTTTTAAAGTTTCTTATTATGTAATAAGAAAAGCCATAACTACGTTTTTGTTTCAGTTGTGCACCACTAAAATGTATGGTAGTGCTATACATGGAGTTAACAAGTGAAGTCATAATAATATAATGTTTTAAGCTTTTCAATACAGTGTTATTATGTCACCAGCAAACATCCTTAATTTAAAGCTAATTTTGGAGTCATTTTTATGTCTGGGCAACAAAACATTTGGATCTGGTGTTTTTTCTTATGTATATTAAAATTACATAGACGATCATGTAAAATGTTGATGATGTGAAGCAAGCCATTGATGCTGGAAAGATTGGGAATTTATCATATTCTTGTTTTAGGACTATGTATTTTATACTCCAGTCTTTTGATTCATCATTGTTACATATCAGAAATGTATTTTTATAATCTGTTGGCTTTTTGTATTAACATGTATTCGGTCTAAATTTGTATTTGTTGCTAATTGTTTATATTAATAGTTTTTGTATATTAATGGTATTTCTTACAGCTGCTTGAGCTGAGAAGCCATTAAACAGCCAATTAATGTCATTGTGTTGGATAATAATTTATTGTTTTTTTATTAGAATTATAAATACCTTGAAGTACAATAGAAGATGCTAGAAAACTGATGTAGAAGATAATTGCTTTTATCAAATGAATAATTGATATGTCAGCGAGTTAAATATTTCTGTTATTCATGGATTTTTTTTGTACTTTATACTCCAACATTTTGTCTATCATTATAGTAGCAGACTTGTTATTCTAGCTGATGTGATGATGTCAGCTGCTTAATGTTTATTTTCTTTTGCTGATTTGACTGAGCAAACTTACTTTACTATATTTTTTTATTTGACTAGGTAAACCTATCACTCTGTACTTATTTTGTTTTACAGTCATTTGTGTTTCTTTTCGTTCTCAGATCTGTCAGATCTACATCTGAAAATGCCATATCACTTTTTTTCCTAATGTAAAATGACTCGTTTCATTCTTTATTTGAATGGAAGACTGGATACGAGTCAGTCAAAAGGGAGACAACTACTGATGACTACCGAAGTACTGTGTGTTTAGTTTGTGTGGTCTTGAGTACTAGTGGAAGAATGACTTGACAAATGCGTTCTGACCTTTGCTTTAATGTTTGACTGTTATTGCCTGACCTCTCCGGTAGCCTAATTGGTTGCGTCCGCCTCGGATGCTGGAGGTCGCAGGTTCAGACCCAGGTCGTGACTTACGAAAGACTTGAAAATGATGCTAGCAGCTGCCTTGCTTGGCGCTCATAGGTTAGTGCTAGGACTGATCGACCTGGTGTCAGGATAATGTGACTGGGTGGGACATCATGCTACATATATAATGCCTCAGTGCTAGACATCACTATAAACTGTCACACAGCAGACATGGTTACGATATCGCTGAAAAATTGTTAAAGTTACGTTAATCTCTCTCTCTCTCTCTCTCTCTCTCTCTCACACACACACACACACACACACACACACACACACACACACACACACACACACACACTGTTACTACCATTTTGTTTATTATCAACATAATGTTACCAATTCCCAAAAAGATGAAGTTGTATAACTCTTAATGTCTGTATAAGCTGAGTCTTTCATTTTCCTATCTTTTCTTTAAAGATTCTTTCCACTTTGAGAAATAGTGCCTTTTTCTTGTCAAACTGAACTCGAATCGGTTATTTATGTATGTCGGGTGTTTCGTACTCTGGCCATTTCTTGACTCTGATTTTTGTCCAGCAGTTTTAAAAGACTTTTTTAAAATCTCATTTCTCACATTCTTTAGTAATGTTTTAACTAGAACATATACTACAGTAACCATTACTTTATTATTTTTCAAATTACTGTTCTATTATCTTGAATAAAAGTGAACTTCCTTTAATCTTTTCTCCTGTATTTTATCATTTAAATCTGGTGTCAGACTAATGTGACTGGGTGGAACATGATACTACATATCTGCGTCACGATGCCCCAGTGCTAAACATCTCTGTAAACTGTCACACTGTAGACATCGTAGAGATACAAAAATCTAAATCACACACACTTGTGATTTTATACATTATTTTAGGATCCATTTTAGATTAGTATTATATTTTTCTAATTGTATTGTTTTTATTTCCTTTCTATAAATTTTAAATCTGACTTCATTTTCATTTTTAGCAATAACAATACATACTGATAAACGTTAGCAATGAATTTTCTATAAAATACAACTAATGGTAAGAGAAAAGACATTAACGTGTGTCGAAATACTGGGTAGGAATTATACCTGTTATGATTCGATCTCAACCCCCAGCAATGCAAAAGAAAGAGCTCTGTTCGAGTAATAACTAGCCATCAGTGACATGCTCCATTACTGACTCAATTACGCATAAACTAGGTAATCCAAAGTACGTGTATTAGAGTTCCATTGGCTGCAGTGTAATACAAACGAACATTTAAAAGTAATTTAATTTTTTATACAAATTGTGAAATTCAGACATAATTTGCCTGATGGATATTCAATTACAGTTTCACAACCACGTTTAAAAATCGTAGTATAGACAATCATCACATGGAAACAGTTGAGTTTATCACCAGAACGTAATTGACACGATGTTAGCGGCATGAAAATATACAGGGCACACTTTTAAGGAGTTTATTTCGTCTGTACCCAAAAAAAGTAAGATTCCTGTTTCGTATGAGGGGATATTATTTGTTATATTAAAAATTCATTTTATTCATATATTTAAGTGGCTCTGGAACCAAAATTTACGCTTCCGTTATTCCATTTGTAATGCTTCGTTGAGCGCAGAAAAGCAACTTTAATCAATTTAACGATGCTGTCCGATCTTTATTCTATAATGTGAATGAAAACAAAAAGGTGAAAATGTGAGGAAAATATTTTGTGCCCTTAAAAATTATAAATGTATTTTTGCCCAGTTAACTAGTTCACTCCACCCCAAAGAAAAGAAATACTAAAAAAAATATTATACTTGTTTCTTTTATCTGCTCTTTTATTGGAAAACAATTCTTTTTTATATTAAAATTTGGTTGTTTTCCCCCAAAAATGACGAAGTTCTTACTAGACGAGTATACCTACGTATGTTTAAGATTCCATGTAGATTTTTTTTGTCAAAACCATTAACGGGTCTTTGGAAGAACATGCATCATAACATTATAATGAAAGAAAGCAATGAGAATAAACATGTCATTAAAGCAAAAGTTACAAGATAACGGATGTAAACTAATTTATTTTACATTTGCAGATCTAATGCCGTTGATTTCGATAACATTTGATTTCAGACTAATGTTACACATTTGATTTCAGACTAATGTTACTTGACTTCAATATTTTTTTCTTCTACAAAGATCCTTCTATCCTGATTTTGGTGTATAGATTCAAAAAGATGTATAGATTAAAAAAGAATGATAGCATTGTCAACATGAAACTCCGTAAATAGCCGGAAGAGTTCCCTGTGAATAAGAGGTTTGCATGGAAGATATATTGCCAAGTGGAAAGGTGTGTAATCGAAGAAACGTCACTTTGTAAATGGATGATAATGGCTATAGCGTGGGCGAAAGAAAGAATGTGACGCTTGACTTTATATATATATATATATATATATATATATATATATATATATATATATATATATATATATATATATATATATATATATATATATATATATATGGCAAATAGTATCTAGATGAAAAATATAGGAGGCTCGTTTCATGAATCTGTACTGCCGCCACCGTATTGACCCCACCGTTTAAAAAGCCACGTTGTTGAACATAAGTTTACCGTATGAGATAATTACAATGAGATCTATTGGTATCTGTGTACAAAGACGTCCTCCTTTGTGCTTTAAGGCATATACCCTGTGTTCAAAAATACATCCTCCTTTGTGCTTAAGGAAATGGACGCCATGCGCGTAAAGACATACTCCTGTGTTTAAAGACCTGTACCCTATGTGCGTAAAGACATTCTCCCCTGTGTTTAAGGACATGTACGCTATGCGTGTAAAGATATACTTCTGTGTTTAAGGAAATGCAATGTATGTGCGTAAAGACATTCTCCCCTGTGTTTAAAGACATGTACGCTATGCGTGTAAAGATATACTTCTGTGTTTAAGGAAATGCAACGTATGTGTGTAAAAACATACTCCCCTGTGTTTAAAGACATGTACGCAATGCGTGTGAAGACATACTTCTATGTTTAAGGAAATGTGCGTAAGGTCATATACACTTTGTGTTTAAGGATATGTACCCATGTATATAAGGGCATACCAGTTCAAGGCCAATATGCTGGTACTTCGATTTCATTTTAACAGTTGTTTTTTTCTATTAAAATACATTGTCACTTTAAATCATATATGTTGTGTGTGGTGTATTTCACTCTCATTCTAAATATAATTCATATCGATGTAGATGTGTTTAGGCAAGGAGGTCTTTATTCATTTAACAATAGGGTCTCGTTTCCTGAAAAGAAATAAAAACAGTCTCACTGTTGAACGTGCAACGGACATTATAAAATTAAGACATCCAAATATGTCCCAAAAAATCAATTCACTTAGAAATCTGGTTTTGGTAAATCACAGTGTTTATCATACGGCAGTTGCTAAGTTTAGAGCTGTG